CCTTGGATCTTACTTCACACTGATGTTTTTTAGACTATCTGAAGGAGCAGCTGGATGAGTACATGTCACAGTTTCCCAAAGTGCGAATAATTCGTCTAAAGGAGCGTCAAGGCCTGATCCGAGCGAGACTGGCTGGAGCAGCTGTTGCCAAAGGTAAGGATGCTACGTCGTTCATGAGAATATTTTTTCTAACTTTAAGGTTTAATCAAAACAATTACATGTCATTATCGCAACTAAGGGGAGTATGAGATTAAGTTGTTCATAGACTTTTTGTCACATTAAAACCAAAATCTTCAGCACATTTATGTGATGAACCAACACAAAATAGAGCAGAACTGTGTACAATTTGAGAAGGTGTGACATGCATCCTCCCGAGTACCGGCTTTGCATATTTAGAGGCTTAGATTTTTGTATAAACTTTGAAAAACAGCTCAGCCTAATTAAAATTGAAAAATTGCATCAGATCAAACTGCATTAAGATTATTGTCCTGCAGGAAGGAGAATCTGTACACGGCTTAGGTCAAAACTGCAAACAAAACCTATTTTTAGCTTTCTTTCAACAATGACTTCTTTTTTTTTTAACCATTCTTTCATAAAAACTAAATTAGCAGCACGCACAATAAATAGTTGTCCTGTCAACTGATTCTTTTACCTGAGGTATGCATTCTTGCTGCTCCTCCAGAGTTACCATTGACTCCTTGGCTGCTGATTGCTGCTGTCATCTCATGGCTTGTTGGTTTTAGGTGAACAGTCCTGCATTGTCATGTAAGACATTTTCAAGATGATGTATCACTGTTCTTTAATTATGCACTACTTTGGGTTGATCTGTCACATAAAATCCCAATAAAATACATTGAGGTTTTGATTTAATTGGTATCTGATCATAAATTACATTCAGTCACACAACCATATGTTTGCAGGAAGAGAATAGCCACACATCTCTCATGTGCTAAAATTGGATAGGAGCATATGAATAAATATCACAAGGTGACATGCCTTACAGCTCAAAGGCATAAGGCATGTCACCTCGTCAAAGCAGTCTTGCTTATTTGTCCAAGCTACCTACCTGTAAGATTTGGACGTGAGTGGTAGATTCAGAAAATCGACAAGATCAATACTACAGTAAAATTTGAAAATATATGTATTACATAGAGGTCAGTATTAGCTTTAATTGAAAACAAGTGTTTGTTTGTGTCTAATGCAGGCGAGGTTCTTACCTTTCTTGACTCCCATATCGAATGTAATGTGGGCTGGTTGGAGCCACTACTGGAGAGAGTCTACCTGGATCGCAAGAAGGTGCCTTGTCCAGTTATCGAAGTCATCAGTGATAAGGACATGAGGTAACTAACTTACCATAAATTGTATAAATGCAGAGTAGAAGTACTCTGCATTTAAATAAGAGTTATCTTTAGTAGTTGACCCAGTAAAAAGTGTGACTTTGTGTTCATTAATCACAGTTACATGCTCGTCGACAACTTCCAAAGAGGGATTTTTAAATGGCCTTTGGTGTTTGGCTGGAGCCCTGTACCAGAGGATGTCATTAAAAAGAACAACATGAAAGTTACAGATCCAATCAGGTATTGTCCTTACCAACACCTTTCTGTTCGTTATATTTCACATTTAGTTTTGGCCCCTTTAGGCAAGTTTACATCCTACTACCCTGAGCTTTTATCAGAGAAACAGTATTCTGCATCTCTTCTGCTTTTTATTGTGTGCTTTTTGATTTTCATAGAGAATCATTACCAGTAAATGTCCTCTTCAGTATTTCTGCTCTGAAAAGAAAAGTAATAAAATTACGAGGTGCATGACAACAACTTTCTCGTATGTAAATCTTCAGAATATGTGTTAGCCGTAATATTGGTTGATATTTACAAACACAACCACTGGGCAACTTTATTTCTGGCAGCAAAGGAGGAAGGCATCTGAAAACAGTAAACAGCACTGTGAAACAAAACAAAGATCTCTCCATGCTTTGATATCTATGGAGATGTACTCTGTTTTTATCTTGCAGGTGTCCGGTTATGGCAGGTGGCCTTTTTTCCATTGATAAAAAGTATTTCTTTGAGCTCGGCGCTTATGATCCTGGTCTGGATGTGTGGGGTGGAGAGAACATGGAGATTTCATTCAAGGTGAAAATCTTTTCTGTTTTTGGCAATCTGAATTGTGATCACACTATTTCTGTCTACTTGGCTCCAGCTGCCTGAACATGTTGCCATTTTTAAACAGATCTGGATGTGTGGAGGAGAGATCGAGATCATCCCCTGTTCTCGCGTGGGACACATTTTCCGAGGACAGAATCCCTACAAATTCCCGAAGGACAGACAGAAAACAGTGGAGCGTAACCTGGCAAGGGTGGCTGAGGTTTGGCTGGACGAGTACAAAGACCTTTTCTATGGCCACGGGTACCAGCACCTGCTGGATAAAAAGGTCATTGACATTGGCAACCTCACAGAACAGATTGAGCTGAGGAAGAAACTCAAATGCAAGAGCTTCAAGTGGTACCTGGATAACGTGTTTCCGGACATGGATATTCCCGTAGTCAAAGCTGAGGGCCTGGTATGTGGTTGGGTTCAGAGAGTGGTGTTTGTATATTTTTATCAGATAAAGCTCATTATGCTGCTTTGCTTCATGAAGGTCCCGTTGATCTTTTCATCAAAACAATCAAAATATCTTCCCAGCACTGCAATTTTATATCTCTAAAAGTTACATTTTATTTTCTAGATCTTCAATCGGGGCTTGAGAAAATGCCTTGCCCTGCAGAAAAACTCTTTGTCCTTTGAGATCTGTGATCTTAGTAATCAGGTAAGAATTGTTTTTCTTTGTTCTTTATATTATTGCAGATTCTAAAAAATGTTTTACGGTTTTTACTTATAATCTTTCTGAGGGGAAGATATTTTTGGATTAATTGCAAGTTTGTGGCCGTAGCATAACAAAAAAAGAATCCACGCTCACACAAATGCATTCAGAGTCTGAGCTGGGACCAAAGCCATGACAAACATGGGTGGGGTTCAAGACAGAGGCTTTCTAAATCTGATGCTTTTGGATTCAGAGCACCATCATTGAGGTATTTCTTAGTAACTACGGTAATTGTCTTCATGGTTTACAGCACTGGGATTGTGCATTGATGGCAGTGCCTTGCAAAAGTATTCATAACCATTGAACCTTTTCACTTTATCAACTCACAACATATGAGATGGAACAACACAAAATAATTACATGATTGTGAAAGATAAGAAAATTATACTTTTTTGTTACATTTCTTCCAAAAAAGCATTGTGTGTCATGCATTTATGTTTAGTCTTCTTCTCTTATGTGCATTAATACACACTGGAAGCCATGTTAGCACTATTTATCCTTATTTCTACTTTTGGGGGCCAAGCAAGAAAATAAATGCTGATCCTGGATTTTCTGCTTTGCAAAAAACAGCCAATAGTGCGTGAAGTAGGTAAATTTCTGTGAATAATTTGCAGTTGGAAATTCACTAATAGGTGTATATTTGAATACTGAACCACAAATACTACAATTCTGGAAGAAAACTTGTTAGACGGCACAAAAGACTTAAATCTGAGGCAGAAGTTCATCTTCCAACAGGACAATAAACTTAAAAGTGGTGTGAGAGCTCCAGTCTAATGGTTTGGATCAAAGCTTTTTCATGTGTTAGAATGGCCTAATCAAAGCACAGTCCTAATCCAATTAAGAATCTGGGGCAAGACTTGAATGATTGAGTGTGCAATGACACTCAATCCAGTCTGAGTTTCAACCATTTCCGATGAAGAATCTGTAAAAAATGTTGTGGTTAAAACCTAAGGAACTATTTATTAACTCATAATAAAAAGCTGTTTTACAAAGTGTTGACTCCGAGGAGCTAAATGTAATCAGATTTATTTGTAAAACATTTAATAATGTTTCCTCATCCAACTTACAATTATTTTTGTGAGTTTATATTCACTTTTTACATAAAATACACTGAAGTTGTAACGTGACAAAAATTTGAGATGCTATGAAAACTTTTCCAAGGTGTTTTAAGCACTTTGATTACACACTACATTAACTCTTCCCTTTTTATCCCTTGTACTTCAGAATCAGCAATTTAATTACACCTGGATTGAGAGGATTCGACACCAGGACCTTTGTGTTGCTGCCCAAAGCACAGGAGGTGGCTTTGCTTTGCTGCCATGTGACAACAGTAAACGTGAGCAGCGCTGGTTCTACAAAACTTCCAACTCTGCTCTAGTAAGTTCTCTGTGCACACTGCTGCTGTAGTAGAATTAAAGACATACTTACTGCTTTGTTTATTAATCGTGCTTCCTCTTTTGTGTTTGCAAAGACGGAGCATCTCATCTCAGAGTTTGTTCCCAACCACATGTGCCTGGAAGCAGAACCTCGGGATGACTCTGTCCGTCTACGTCCATGTCAGCCCAGCAGCGTCTTCCAAAAGTGGGAGTTCACACGTTACCACCTACAATAATGAGCTTAACGACGCTTTGTGAAAACGTCCAGTGGCTTTATTGCGTAAACTGTGGTCCAACTGCCACACCTGGACTAACTGGAACTGAAGCGATTCAGAAATTTGCATGAATATCCATGTGTGGGTTGGTTGCTAAAGGATAGCAATCTTATTTAACACACTGGAAGTGTTTTTTAAAAAAACTGGGATTACAATGAATATGTATGGAATGGTTTAATAGTGCCTCAGATTTTGCTTCTTCATAAACTGAATATCAAATGAAGAATTTATTATTTCACATTTTAAAAAAAGTGTGGGTTACAGGATGTGATGTAATTTATGCTGCTTATCTGGGTTTAAATGCTTTATCTTTTTGATTTGATTTTAAACTCTCAATGGTATGATTTATTTTCCTAGCACTAGGGGGGAGTGTTGGTTCAGATGCCTAAATAAACCTGGGTTGTTATACAAACATTTTAACCAACTGTTGAACTCTTTTTGGCCAAAACAATGGAAGAAGCATCTTATAATGAACATAAAACAGTCATAAAAATCTTGCTAGAATTCTTTATTTTGTTTAACCTTTTGCCATGATGATGAATAGAACAGATTTTACTTCTAAAAATGTCACAGTTATCGTATATTATTTAAAAAACGTCCTCATATTTAACTTTCACTCTTTATACTTACAATATCTAAAAATTAAAACCCTAAGTGACAAGTAAATACAACATATCGGCAGAAATGTTTACTGACTGTTAAGAAATGATCTGATTTTTTTTCTTCTAGATATTATTATGACATGTCATTCAAGTCTTAGTAAGTCAACTGTAGTGTCATTCTATCCGAGTACTTAACTCAAATATTTGAACTGGTTGTTTGACTGCCTCAGCTGTGGCTTTTAAGCACAGCTCATATCTTGTGTACAAGGCCATTGCAGAAGCTAAAACTGCTTGAGATTTTCGTTTTTGCGGGATACTGAGCTGCATCCAGATTTTATCTGACCTAACGTGCTTCTTCCAGTGAAAGAAAGTTGACTTGAACAATCACGAGCCACAAAAGCTCAAACATAAGTGAATTGTCCAGAGTGAAGCCAGTTTAGCAATAGAACGATCTGAGGTGATGTCGACCGAGACAGAACCGTCAGCTCCAAAATCAGCACCAAACTCCTGGAGAAAAGTTTTATGATCAAAGATTGCATAATTTTTCCACAAAAGTATGTTTGGAGGAGTCGAGGTGAGACTTTCACCTAATACTAGTCCATTCAATAGCTGGCATGTTAAGCCCAGCAGAACGACAATCCTAAATGCATCCGAACTGGTTAAAAGAGGCTAACTTTACTATGTCTGTCAAAATGCTACACTGATGCCAGAAGTTTCTAAATGGCCACAAAAAGCATGTAGCATGTGAACGTCTATGAAATGCGTATGTTGTGCTGTGACAGCCCCTGCTATGTGGCAATGTGGTAAATTGTCAATTAAGGTCCTCGGTTGTGGGAGATGCCTCTGATTATGTGGCCACCGTGACTGTATTTAAAGAGCACCGTTCCACTCATGAGAAGTCGCAGACGCCAAGGACCAGACTCAGAGAAGATCCAGGCCCAGTTGGATCCAGAGGCGGTGCCGGCAGATCGCTTAGCACGTTGTGGGACTTGTGACCAGAGGTCCAACTGGGTCCATGACTGAGGGGAGGACCAGACAAAGTGAGCACATTTTGGGCTGTTGCTCATTATTCCCCAGACAGTAACTTTTAATAAAAGCCTCTCTGAAGGACTGAAAAATTATTCTGGTTCCCTATTTTTTGTTGTGGCCATCTGAGCCAGGCCATAACACGTGCATATATGTATTTGAGCATGTGCTTCTAAATTTGACCCAGAAAATCCTCAGTAAATTCAAACTTGTTTGCCCAATACTTGTTTTTTTTTTTTTTTAATTGTTGCAGTTTGTTCTTGTATGATTATCTCTGGTTCAAATAAATTATCCAGATCCCTAAATTAGTATAACATACACATTCACAATAGATACCTATAGCGTTAACAACAAAGTTAGGCATTTCTCAAATATAATGGCATTAAAATAGATTTAGGTGTGTCACAGATGTAAGTATATTGTGAATATCATCAGGGGTTTCTGAAACTACAGGCGTATATTTCAGAGCTGGAACATTTGCAAGCTTGTAGTGATGTGTTTGGCCCTTCGTTTATTTTTTACTCGTTAGCAGGAACTCAAACTCCTCTATCTTCTGCCGTGTGTTGCCTCTGCGGATCCTGCGGTAGGACACAGTGCTGTATTTGGAGGAGGAGAGGTGGTTGAACGTGCTGCAGTCAGATTTTGTTGGCCCTGGCAGGTTCAACTGAACTTGGCTGGGGTTTTGCAGGAACTCTGCTTCCACATCACGCACAGGCTGCATGTCACTTGATTTCTGGATGTCAGCACCAAATAGTCTTTGAGGAAATTCTGCATCCCCATTCAAATGTATATAACTGTCAATGTTGAGTAAGTCAAACAGGTTTTGATTTGAGGTATCAGCTTCTGTCATCACTTCCTCTTTCTTTACTTGGTCCGCTGAGAAAAGAAGCAAAAGTAGGCTTTTGTAAATGTAAATGTGAAAACATTTGTTTTACCTAGACTTTAAGAATATCATACCATTTGTTGCTGCTTTATTTTGCTGCTCAAACACTCCAGACGTTTTCCCAAACTTTCCAGGTGTGACATAAAACTCTGCAGATGATTCCTCAGGGTCTGAAACATGCATTCTTTTAGTAGTAAATGTCTCCAGCGTCTGCTTTTCCTCTTCAGTCCAGATGATGCACTGGTTCAATTCCTTCTTCATCTCCAAGTTTCCTTTCTCTCCTGGATTAGTCTCCATCTGTTGGCTACCTTCACCATCAGCCACACTGTTAACAGGATTTTTGCACCTTTTGCCACTGAAGCCAGTTAAGTTGACAGATTCCTTGTCCAATTGAGCGTGCTCCTCATCACTGTAGAACACAGAGTCATCTCCCATCTCCATTGACCAAACCTCTCTGTCCTCAGACTCTTCTGTCACTTTTGAGGCATCAACAGTTCTCCCATTAATAATCTCCAGTATCTTTGAAGTTTGTGCATCTTCTTCTTCATCAACTCTGAGTTTTGATGCGTTTGAAAGAGATGTAATTGTTGCCATCTTCTATGATTCTGTTTGCTGAATCTAAAACTAAACAAAAACGGTCAAGTCTTCCTCCAGCATGTTGTTGTCCTTCATGAAAGAGCGAGGAAAGCGTCCAGCCCACAGTGGATTCAGGAGGGGTCTGCATGGTGCTCCCTAGCGTTTGTACCATGGTAATCTGTGTGTTTGTTGACTCACTGAAGAACAGGGGTTTTGTTGTGGCCCAACAAAGGTTCATTGTGGTGAAACCAGCTGCATATGGAGCAATTGTTCTCGTTCTTAAATCTCTGCTTTCTGTAAAACTGAAAAGTCTGACTTAGTGTGTTCCTTTATGTTCTTATACATCCCCAAGCATAACTGTGACTTAAATACATTTTTACATTGCAATGTTTATTCAGCTTTTAATAAGGTTGGGGGCTTAAGTTTTTCAACCACTCAAATGTTTAACTTGTCGTTCAGTACACTCACAATCAGAATAAATTCCACAAAAATTTCAGGCCGTACAACAAGAGAAACAGGCAAAAGTAAATAAATAAAAAATCCCACATGCTATTCTACCAATACTAAAGAATAGGATTAGCTAGCGGGGCTGGTTAGCAATAAGGCTAACCGGCTCATTCAACAATACCAACATGGGGCGGCTAAGCCAGCATGGAAGCCAACAACACAAACAATGACTCAACAATTCTTTGTCGAAGGTAAATCCTCTCACCTCAGACTGTAGATCTCTGATAATTTGCCTGTACAATCAACATTCGACATATTAAGTTTTAAGCGCTACCCCATAAAAAATAGAGCAATGATCATTTTGAGAGCCACTGTGAGCATCGTCATTACCAAGCACAGTGTGATGTAGTCCAAAACTACTTCAATGACGAGAAACAAGTTTCTTGTTTATGGAGAGGTACATCGCTCCAGAAAACATTTTTCTATGTTTCTTGACTGGCTTGCCTTTCCAAAACGTTTTTTTTTTCCACACATTTCTCTTGAAGAGGTCTGAAAACAGGCAAGGTTTCAAGGTGAACTGAATCTTTATTTATCCACTTCTTTGTTGCTTTGGTCACAGCCATGCTAGTGTCCACTTTTTGGGTCTAAATGTATTTCTCATATGTTCGATGGGCTTGTCTATTGGCCACATAATGCGGTGAAGCCATTGTGCGCACACTGATCGGAAAGTTATCCCCAAAGCTTAATGCTTTCTCCTCTATGTGTGACGATTGCTCTTTTGATCAACCTCAGCATTTCTCTCCCTCCAAACATGGTGGGTCAAGTCGATGATCAAGAGTTCTATTTTGGTTTCATTTGACCACAGAACTTCATTTCCTTTCTTCCTTTCTCTGAGTGACTTCGCAAGCGCTGGTAAGCAGAAGACAATTGTGCTTTCCTCAACACGGGCTGCAAGAGTTTGAGTCATGACAGCGTCATGCATGGTCAGTGGTGTTCTTGGTTACTGAAAGTTGCTGCGTTGCTTCAGATCATTAACATCTTGTAAAGTTTCAGGCTAACCATCTTATTTCAATATTCATCATCCTTACCATGGGAGGCAATTTCTTGCATTGAGATTAAGAATTAGGACAAGTGTAGTCAATGCTGTACCTTTTATAACAATCGATAAAAAAATCTATTTTGCAGGTTTGTATAGATATAAGTATTGTCCCTATCATCCCTTGTTAGCTCTTTGGTGGAGAAATTTGAAAACCAGAAGATGTAGGCAGACATGCTTTGTGCACAAAAGGTATGTTCAGGAACATCTTTAGTTGACAGAATGATGAATTAATGTGTGGAATCAGAATTCTGGTTGGATAGTGTTGGCGTCAAATGCTTACATCACTAAATTAAATGCAAATAAATTGTATTTTCTTGTATTTTTTTCAGCACTAAGATTGAAGTGCAATGAAAACTAGATTTTGTAAGTTTGTTTTCAACTTTGCAAACTTACAAAATCAGCAAGGGATTAGATTCTTATCTCTATTGCTGCATCATCATGAACTATTTTCAAGAGAAAAATGACTCAGGTTGGGTTATCATGGTTTCCTGGTGCCCAGTAGCAGACAGTCTTTCTTTATCTGTTCGACTGCAGCAGGAAAGAAGCCTTCTCATAATTTTAAAGAACCGTTATTGGCTGCTTCTAAGTAACCAAAGTGATTTGCATATGGTACTTGCACAGACGTAATTTGTCTGCGTCTTTTCTTCCTGTTCAGTGTGTAAGCAGTAAAAATAATTGTGGTACGTCAAACAGTGCATAACAACAGGGTTTATTGATTAAAACCTTTTTACATATATAAAATCTCGAGAGAACAAAATAAAACGTACATTAAAAACAAAATATTTACAGTTGGTTTCATATACATACAGTTTTTCAGGATGTGAAGAAATTAGGAAAGCAGTTGCACTGTTTCTGTGGACCGAAAGTAAGTTGTATCCTGAGAGTAATTTTGGCAATGGAAAAAAAAGCTAAGTAGTATGCTCATGCCCACATCCTGTTATGAACTTAACAGACATACATGGTTTGGAGATTTGGTTTTGGTTTCAAGCACCTGAATGCCTTGTAAGTGCTGCCTAACTGTTGATCTGATTTGTGCTTTTTGGTCAAAACAGTGTCATTTAAAAATCCAAAGTAAGGATTATATCTGTAATTTAAATTGTCTTTAATGCTGCTTTGTGTGAGATGCACACAAAGAAATTTTCAAGTTAGTAGGATATATGTTCTCTTGTACATTGCATCGTGTTACATTCACTTCACATGCATTCGTTTTTGTAATGCTTTTGCACTGGAGTTTTAGTCCAAATGTTGAGCTCAGCTCACATCAAGGCTCAGAAAGCTTTGGGAATAAACTTGATGTGCCAGAAAACACTTCATCAGTGTCTTCTGCTACAACCTTCAACCAGCCCTTAATATCGAAGGATCTCATGAGAAACCTTTCAAGCTGTTCCCATCTCCTCCTCTTCAACCGATCGCTGAAGTCCAGGAATTAACTTAAAGATCTGTTTGCGCACACTGGCTCTCCTGCTTTTCCTTGGCAGAGTCCCAAACAGGGATGAGATCCTTGTTTCTTCCCAGGATGGAGACAGAGAGGTGCTGCTGCCGGCCAGACTGGAGCTGCTGGAGCGGCATAAGGCCTGGTGATGGAGGCTCCTTGGCCCGTCCTGCAGGGGGAAGTCTTTTGAGAAGAAGCAGCCATCATCCGTGGTGCTGGCTGCGCTGTAGGGACTGGGTGAGCTCACATCCCCAAACACACTGGCCTGGTCGCTGTCGTCTGTCATCCCACTCCTGTAGCTGCTGTCGCTGGAAAAACGCCGACCCCGGCGCCCCATGGGGGAGGCCAAAATACCCGAGGGGTCCATCAACAGGTTGAGGCTGCTGTCATTTAAATTATCTGGAAACACAACAGAGTCTTTGTCACTCAAACACCAAGAAATAGTGCATGCAACAGGAAGTTTGAAAGCTGTTTGTGACTTTCTCAGGGAAACACCTTAATCTAAATTATCTGAAGTTGACACCCTGCAGTAATTCACAATAAAAAAAAACAGGCCAGCTTAGAAGAAATGACAGAGGCAGTGCGAAAGGAAGTGCTGTGGTCTGACAGCTGAGCTCTCACCTCCCATCAGACCTCTTTCCTGTAATGAGAGCGCTTGAAACTCCTTCAACTTCTCACGCAAGGACTGCTGCATGGGCAGAACAAAAAAATCAAGGTTAATTCTTTTCAAATGTGTCACAACATTTATAAACTCAGAATGACCCATTTGATTTAAAGCGTAGCTCTCATTGAGAAGATTGGTGGCTACAGGTTGAGCCACAGCCCAGAATGTAATAGTAAAAATAGTGTGGATGGTTTTAGTTTGCAGGTGATGCTGGCTTACAGTGCATTGACAGCAAAATGGGACAGTTTATATTTTGATGGTGTAGTGCAGAGACATTTCTGAGTTGATTTCTCACATGCATTTATCCGCTTTTACAAAGCTCCCATAAAATTGCCCTTGCAAGACTTTTCAGATTTAGCAAGAGAAAACTATCATCTACATAACAGTTTACAAGGTTTTAATATTTTTAAATTCTCTAACAGTTATGCTGAGAATTCGTTTTATCTAAACGGCTGTCATTACATATAAATGTTTTGTCATCTTATTTTTGCTAATTTAGACATTTAGAAACCTTTGAAATAATACATGAATAGTAATTGATAAGCTAACTTTAAACATTTAATGTGTTAAGTATGTGACTGTCTTTTTGTTCAGAAGTAAGATTACACTTAAAAGCTTAAGTATCAAAGCCTCTCCAGTCAGGATACAGTTTAATCTACCAGGATGGATTGTTTATATTGCTTTCTGTCTAGTCTAAGGAATGTAGTTTCAGTCAATAAACTACATTCTTGCTGGCTTTTCAATGTGACAAAGCACAAGCGGACCAAAGTCAGCTTCTAATTGGCTGATCAACCTCTCATGACAACTTCTTTCCAGAAGGTTCTGAAACTCCTATGGAAACTTTAAGACAACCAGATCAAGTGACAGTTTGTTCAGCTTTGAACCCTGATCAACTTGTTTGGATTCAGTTGTGATAAATAATTTTTGCACCATATGTTTTTCAACTTTCATCAAGTTATTTAAAAAATCTTGAGTAAAAAGGTTTCTTTTGTTATTTAGTGATGTTTTGAGTATTCTGAGTGTTATTGCTATTTTCTTTTGGCACATTTTTATTTGTGAATCCACTGAAATCTTTTGACCTCAGAGTGTCTTTCTGGCTGGAACCACAGCTGTTATGAAAGCTTTGCTAAAAAGAGGTCATCAGACGTTGCATGAACTGAATGACAAGTCATGACTGGGCTTAAAGCCTTGTTATGGACAACAATTCCTGTTGCGCAATTCTGGTGTTTGAAGCTGATGAGTCAAAGGGAATTCTTCAACTTTAATTTCCTTTTCTCCCTTTTTTTTCTCCTCGCCTTCTGATGTTGGGTATTATAACCCATAATTAGAATTGCCCCCAGTAGTGTAGTGTAGTATAACTTAATGCTGCAAGGAACACACCTGGAGCTGATTGAGTTTCTTCTCAAGCTCTATCTTCTTCACAACGTTACCACACACAGTCTCCAACCTGGAACCAGATGAAGTCTTGTTATAAAATTGCTTCTTTACGGTGATTTATGTTTTC